GTCCCCTCTCCTGGGGCTGCCCCAGCTATTGTTACTCTTTCCTGGGGTGTGCCTGGCAAGGTGGGGTTCTCGGGGTGGCTCACCACCCTCCTCCAGCGAGACCCTGGGGGGAATCCGGGAGACACTATCTCCCTCCCTCTCGCCCGAGAAGCCATATGGAGCCTGGATTTTTCCAACATGGAGGCAAGGGAAATAGACATGTTTGGTGTAGTAGAACTGCTCCCCACCCCCTCTTCCCCTGGAGCTCCAGAGCTTGGATCCCCTCCGCACCTTTCCTTCTTACCAGTGTCCTGCCAGCCGGGCCTAGGCGCCTCCAGCCGAGCCCGGCCTGGCCAAGTCCCTGAACGGAGTTGCTGAGCCGCCTTTTAATTCGGTTACCTCCAGCGCCCAAACTTGCTGCCACCCGCAGGGCTCGGCCCTGAGCCCGGGGTGCTTTGGAACCTGCCGCGGCTGTAACCGGTTCGGCCTCCGGAGCGCTGGCCCTGCTCCTGTCGGGCCAGCTGGGCTAGTCGGCAGCCACCGCCGCCGCGACAGCGGCCGAGCCAGCCCGGCGGCGCAGCCCGGGGCGAACCCCGTCCACAAACCTTCCAGGCCCTTTTTCGCCGCCGGCGGAGTCTCCATTCTTTCTATCTCGTCGCTGGCTCCTCGGCTTCCCACACTCGCCTGGCCTGGGTCCTGTGATGGTTTGCGAGTATATTGTAGGGGGAGAGACAGGAATTTCGGCCCCAGGCGTATAGTCAAATTATTACTATTGTTATTGTTATTATTATTTTATCATCATCATGACCATGGTCATCATCACCATCATCATTACTGCTGTAACAATCATTTAGACTAAATAAAGCCAGGGCCAGTCAGCCAACCCCCTCCAACGTTTTTATTCCATTCTCCTCTCTATCTATTAATAACAAACTCAACGGATGCCTGTTAATTAATTCCCCCTTCAGCCAGGGCTGCTCCGAAGCTAATTTTGGTTAAATCATCAGAGGCTAATGGTAATAATAATAAAGGGATTGGGTCAGCTTGGTCAATTGAACTCCAGTTTGCTTCCCAGGAAGGACCTGCTGCTCTGCAGGCCCATGTGTATTTCCCAGAAACAAATCTTTCCAGAAACCAATCGGAACTCAGGGCTATCCCAGCTCTCTTTTGAGTGTAAATCTGTGCCATTAAGAGGAGGATTTATGTGTGGGAGGGACTTCCTTCACCTGCATCCTTTTATTTTGTTTTCTTATTTTTAGTATACTTTGGAGTTGACCAGCTGGGCTGAAGGAGATTTAAGTATTCCAAACTCACGTGTCTGGAGAGGGTCAGTCTGGAGGTGTTGTGGAAAGTGAAGATGATGGGTTGGGAAGACAGGGCAGCCAGAAGTTTCAGAAGAGATATGCAAAATCCTATGGCGGCTTGAACCTTTATTTTTCCAGCACAGTTTTATAAAGGCTGCATTAAACTATATATATTTTTTTTGTGCCTTGGGGAACTTCAGTAAACTGGGGTACTGTGTTTTCAACCCAGAGAATAACATTCAGATTACTCTGTTGACTTTCTTTTTTTCCTGGGGAATAGGAAAGTGCTGGTACTTCTTTTAGAAAGCACTTTCCCATCTCCTGGTAGAAAAGTCCAGTAGTTATCCAATTTATTTCTTCTTTTGGAGAAATATCAAAGGATACAGATGGTCAAAGAAAGGGTGGGAAAAATAAGTCTGATAAAAAAAAGTGGGAGTGGGGGAAGACTGGAACCAAATGGTCACATCACCAACCAGTCAGGGCTGGGAATGGAGCGGGCCAGGGAAATCTGCTCCATTTGGGGCCCCCATGGAGGCCACTGGCTGCTGGGTCTCAGATTTGACTGAGCAAAGACGTGGATGGAGGTGGTGATATCTGCAGCGGGGCCAAAAGAAGCTCGGTTCCATTGGCGCTGGAGGTTAAAAATCTTCAGGAAGTTTCTAGGTCGGTCTGTTGTATCTTGGTTAGGTGCGGATCTCTACAGGAGAAGATTCCTTGTGCGACTTGCTTCTCCCTCCTGTCTCTTTTGGAGATCTTCTGTTTTTAATTCAGACTTTCTTTTTGGGTGAAAGAGACCTAGATGGACATGGAGGGAGGCAAAGACAGGGAGCAGGAGGCCTCTCAGCTCAGAGGAGGGCCTTGATGATGCTTTTATTTTAGAGTCTCCTAGTTCCCCCCTCCTCCCCTTCTTGAGCCACCCTATCCCAGAGTTGGGGGGAAGTAGGGAGAGGGAGGAGGAGCGGTCAGAGGTAGTAACATGCAGGCAGGGCAGAAGCACTGGCTCTTGCAGTAGTAAGATTCTCTACCTAGGCAGTCCCCAAAGGAGTACAGACCTTATTTTTCAGTGAAATGAAAACTGGTGGGATTTTCCATAAAATTAAAGCATTGAAATAAGGAAAAAATCCATTTCAGGTCAGAAAGTGGCCTCAGCATCTGCTGTGAAGATGTTGGGGTGGGGGAGAAGAAAACACCCTATTGATGTCAGTTCCCTTTTCAGTTTCTAAGATGGATTCGAGCGGAGCCCTAGTCTTCTTCTCCCCCTTGTGTCTCTTCTTTCACCCCGCAGGTCAGCCTCAGCGGCTTGGAACGGACCCCGGGAGGAGGGGGGCAGGACAGGGAGGGGGGGTCCGGCGTGCCACGTGACCCCCAGGGGTGCCAATGTCCGGTCGTGAGGGTATCAGGCCCTTGCACTTTGCCACCCACTGCACGGGCCTCGCCCAGCGATGCAGAAAGCCACCTACTACGACAACGCCGCCGCAGCGCTCTTCGGAGGCTACTCTTCGTACCCTGGCAGCAATGGTTTCGGCTACGATGGCCCCCCCCAGCCCCCCTTCCAGGCCGCCACGCACCTGGAGGGCGACTACCAGCGCTCTGCGTGCTCGCTGCAGTCCCTGGGCAACGCCACCCCGCATGCCAAGAGCAAGGAGCTCAACGGCAGCTGCATGAGGCCTGGCCTGGCCCCTGAGCCCCTGCCTGCCCCGCCCGGCTCACCCCCACCCAGCGCCGCACCTACCAGTACCACTAGCAACAGCAGTAACGGGGGCGGGCCCAGCAAAAGCGGCCCCCCCAAGTGCGGTCCCGGCTCCAACTCCACCCTCACCAAACAGATATTCCCCTGGATGAAAGAGTCGAGGCAAACGTCCAAGCTGAAAAACAGCTCCCCCGGCACAGGTACCAGCTCTCTGCCTTCCTCCGTCAGCTTTTGTCCGGGCCAGGAATGTCACTGTTATTCTAGCACCCCACCCCCAGGCGCCCCGTCCGCGGCCTGGGAACAATGTCAGGTAGCCGGGGCAGGGGCGCATCTCCCGTACTTCGCATCCCCTGATGACCTCTGACCCCACAGCACCTTCTCCCTGCAGCCACCTTCCACCTGAGCTGCTTAGAGCTCCAGACGGCCGGGCGCTCGGCCTCAGCCCCGCGCAAGACCTTAGAGTCAGGAGGCGCCGCTGGTGCGCGCGGCGTCGCCAACGATTGATTATTATTAAGTATGATTACTTGCGGGTATTAATCACAATCGCTCGGGCGGCCCGGGGTCCCGGCCTCCAGGCACGGCCGCCTCTTTGCGCCACGCTTTTACCCTTGCATGTGCAGCTCACCCCAAGGGTGCTGGCCTCCACCCTGCGCCCTGCCCACAGGGCGCGCCCGGCCTGGGGCGGCAGGGTCTTCCCAAACCTGGAACCGGGGAGAAGGGAGAAAAGCCAGTGTGAGAAAATCCAGCCCGAAATAAATGGCCATGCGGCTCTGTCTGCGTGACATGATCAAATTTTCATAAGCTGGGGCAGCGGGAGGAGAACAGGTCTCTTAATAAATGCCACTATTATGGAGTGTCCGCTAATCCGCCGGGCGGGGGGGCGCGCGGGGGGCGGGGACGCGCAGGGGCGGGCGGCGGGGGCTCCGCGCCCAGGCCTGGATTTATTAAGAAATGATGCATTCAATTTCGGCGTGTTCAGTAATTATCTTTTATTTCATTTTCTCCCTTCCCCACCCGCCCCCTCGGATCCAGCGGAGGGCTGCGGCGGCGGCGCGGGCGGCGGCGCGGGCGCGGGCGGCGGCGGGGGCGGGGACAAGAGCCCCCCGGGGTCGGGGTCGGCGGCGTCCAAGCGGGCGCGGACGGCGTACACGAGCGCGCAGCTGGTGGAGCTGGAGAAGGAGTTCCACTTCAACCGCTACCTGTGCCGGCCGCGCCGCGTGGAGATGGCCAACCTGCTGAACCTCAGCGAGCGGCAGATCAAGATCTGGTTCCAGAACCGGCGCATGAAGTACAAGAAGGACCAGAAGGCCAAGGGGCTGGCCTCGTCGTCGGGGGGCCCCTCGCCCGCCGGCAGCCCCCCGCAGCCCATGCAGTCCACCGCCGGCTTCATGAACGCCTTACACTCCATGACCCCCAGCTACGAGAGCCCGTCCCCGCCCGCCTTCGGCAAAGCCCACCAGAATGCCTACGCGCTGCCCTCCAGCTACCAGCCCCCGCTCAAGGGCTGCGGCGCCCCGCAGAAGTACCCCCCGACCCCAGCGCCCGACTACGAGCCGCACGTGCTCCCGGCCAACGGGGGCGCCTACGGGACGCCCGCCATGCAGGGCAGCCCGGTGTACGTGGGCGGGGGCGGCTACGCGGATCCGCTGCCGCCCCCTGCCGGCCCCTCCCTCTACGGCCTCAACCACCTCTCCCACCACCCCTCGGGGAGCCTGGACTACAACGGGGCGCCCCCTATGGCCCCCAGCCAGCACCACGGACCCTGCGACCCCCACCCCACCTACACAGACCTCTCCTCTCACCACGCGCCGCCTCCTCAGGGTAGAATCCAAGAAGCGCCCAAATTAACACACCTGTGATGGGAGGGGGAGGGCGGAGGGGCGAGGGCGTGGGGTGGGGCGAGCCCTGGGGGTGGGCGCCCGGGGGCTCTGGGGCTCTGGGGGGCAGGCTGGCGTCTGGAAAGAGGGAGCTGGAGGTGGTGGCCAGGCTTCCTGGGAAGGGCCGGCGCGGAGCTCCCTCCCCTCCCCCTGGCCTGAGAGTGGCCTTCTCAAGTGCCCCAGCTCTTGCTCCATCTGCTTGCCAACCCATCGCCAAGGAATCCACAGCAGATTGGAGGTGACCCCCTCGGCCCTAGGCCTCCAGCAATACCCAGTTGGAATTCCACACTCGGGAGTGAGGTAGAGGAGGGAGACATAGGAGAACCAGGCAGAGAAGCACATTTTGAAAAAAACAGACAAGATGGCTAGGCCGTCACTCACCAACCGACTTACCTTCCGTCCCTGTGGGTAATTCCCCCAAATCTTGATTTTTTCCCCCCCTCGAAATTCTCCTTAAAAAAAAAAAAAAGAAAAGAAAACATTTCAAAACCAAGGGCACAAAGCAGGCTCCCCTCCCACTTCCCTGAAGCCTCACATTTGCTCCCATCCATTTGAGGTCTATGGGGCACTCCCTCCATTTCTAACCCCGCATTTCTCTGCTCTAGGACGGTAATAAGTCTACCCCGCCCCATCCGGTACAGTTTCAGAGGGCTCAGGGATGGTGAGAGATCCTGAAAGTCAGAGCTGTCTATATTATAAATATATATTTTTTCTTTTATGGAAAAGCTGGGAGGTGAGGGCACACCGTCAGGACTGAAGGTTTGCCCCCTTGCTACCGCCCATCTCAGCTCCAGGTCCATCCCCCTCTCTCCACAGAAAGCAATCGGCGACACGAGGTTCTACACTTTTCTTTTCTTCTGTTGCTCTCTTGACTTCACGTGAAAACAGGGTATATTTTAACAAACTGTCTGTCCCAGGCAGGGGCTGTGGCGGGCCTAGGGCCTGGCTCAGCCCTCTGACAGGACGCTTTTGTTGCACTTAGAGTTTACATTTTAATGGATATAAAAACAACTGTGAGAGGTGCCTGGGCCTGCAGGAGCCCCCGCATCGCTCAAAAAGCGTGTGTTCTAGTGAACATTTTCATATATATTTATTGGTTATAGCCTGTTAAAATATTTTCTTTTTGTATTATTTATCCCCCTACATTATGTATTTATATGAGGGAAAAAAGAAAAAAAATGTACTTTTTTTAGTATTTACTTGTCATTAAGGGACATTGTGTTTCCTGTCATGTAAAACCAGCTATTTTAGTTATTATTGTACTCTAGAAAAGAGCTGTAGATTTATGTTAAACTCGTACTTATGAGCAATTGTAATTAGTTCTAAAAGGCATGAACTCAGCTCCTAATTGTCACTGTATAGTCCCGAATTTGTAGAATTAGAGTTAATTCCCTCTTGGAACTTTCTTTGTTCTTCAGTAGTTACTTTTTTCCTTACTTAAAAGGGTTGTCTGTCAAACAATTCTTGAATAAACTTTCTGTTATCAATTTTATCTTGTCCTGGTGGTCCAATTTAGATCGCAGAGGGAGGCTGCTGACTGCTAAATTTGGGGGTTGGGTGGGGGGAAGAGGAGAGGACTTTGAAGACCCTATCCTGGCCCCACCCTCCCAGTTGCTGTATCTCAGGTTTGAATAGTTTTTCTCACTCACGTGAGCCTGCCCCATCCTGCCAACTTCTTTAGCTAAGCTTTCAGTAACAAGTTGGGGGAAAAAGGGAGATTCTTGGGTCCTCTCTCTGGGTCTTTCTGCTTGGCTTCTTCGCCAGTTCAGTTTTTCTCATTCATTGACCTTTGTCATCTTGCTCCTTTGGCCACAGCCTCTCCCCCAAAACAATAACCAAAAAAACCTGGGCGATTACAGCTTCTTCCATGCACCCTAAACTTCACAGTTCTCTTCCGGAGCTACAAAGAAGTCGTCACGTGACCCGAAGCCCAACCACCATTGGGTCTAAAATGAAAACAAAGGAAAATGATTAATCTAAAAAAAAAAAAAAATTGGAGGCCTGGACTTCTCAGGTCAAACCTTAAAACTAAAGTGAAATTAAATCACTAAATAAAACCCGGGGCGGAGGAAGAGGAGGTGCACTTGATCTCCCCTGCCAGGGAAAGGGAAGAGGAGGGCGGGAGAAGCTCTTGGATCCAAGCGTAAATAAAATGGTCCCCAGGCTCATGTGTGCGGCTGTTTCCACCATCCTTGGGAAAACTTCATTTCTTAGTCGTGGCTCCATAAAAGTTTTATCACATTGGAGCGAGGATAGAGAGGGTCTGTCAAAGATGAAATGTCACCGCCGCTTCTCTGGAGCCGATAAGAGCGAGGAGACAGGGCGGCTGAAATATGGAGCTAATTCGTTGAAAGAGAAGCGATGGCTGCTTGCTGAAGAGTTGCATAATTCTAATTGTAAGCGATGCGCCCGCATTGCTTAATTAGGAGCATATATTTGGTGGTAGGAATGGGGGGGGGGTTGTTGGTGAGAATTGTTCCAGGCCCTCAGCCTTAAAGGGGGACTGATTTTCATTTTTATGTTGCATTCTGGCAGTCCAAGGTTAGTAATTACAGTCTTTATGCAACGATAAATAACAATAAAAAAGCAACCTGAATTCTACACCCTCCCAACCCCCCCCCCAACCCCCGCCAAGTAGGATTTTAACTGGACTGGGCTCATCCAAGCAGCAAGCAATTTAGCATTGGGTCAGGCTATAATTTAAAGGCATAAGAGCGTGCAAAGTTTGATTGGGATCAAATAACGCTCAAGGGTTTTTCTTTCTTTCTTTCTCTTCCTCTTCCCCGAATAACATTTTCTGAATGATGTAACTAGACCAAGCGCCATGTTTGGCTCTGGGGGTGGAGTGGATTGATTATCTAGCAAGAGAGAGGCAGGCCAGGAGAGAAAATTTAGCTTGAGTTTGAAAAACAGCGCCTTGGCTTGAAGCTGGAATTGCAAACAAGAAAAAATAAGGACCGTCTTGGCTTGGTGTTCCCTACCCTTCTCTCTGCGAGATCCCAGGCAGCCAAAGGCGTGGGGAAAATATCTGTGCTGCAAGATTCACAGCACAACGGGGAGGGGGGCGGGAAGCGGAGTCTCTAGGAAGGAGGGCTCTCTTGGCCTCTTTTAACACCCAAGTTTTCTGCTGTTCTCTAATCTGGCCGTAAAATCTGTCAGCAGGGTTAGAGAGAGCCGTATTTCCTGCAGGGATAGTTTCAGCGAAGTTGCCAGTTGCCGAGAGAAGCGCTCCACCTTGCAGCGAGCTGGAGGGGCTTTGAAAAAGCGCCCAGGGCTTCTCCAGGAGTGGCCAGAGGGAGAATTCTTTCTCAGGCCTCACGGGCAACTTGCAGACAACTACTATCCCGAGTCCTCTGCGCCCACTCCCCAACCGGATACTTCCAACCGACAACCGACGAAATTACTTTCTTTGGACTGAAACTGGACACAACCTTCCCCGGCCAGTTTACACACCCCGGAGCTGGTCTCTCTGTTCTGAGGCCTCCAGAGCCTGCCACCCACTGTCGCTGCAGCCCCCACCTCCAATGCCCCTTTCTGCAGCCAGACTCGCCCCCCCCCTCCGTCCTCAGACGGCTCGGCCCTTTTTAAATACTCACCACCACCCACGCGGATGAATACTCACCACCACCCACGCAGCTGTTCTATTGACAGAAAGTTTCTAGTTCCAGCTCCCGGCTGAGTTGCCATTTCTCTGCTAACCAGCCTTCTCCTCTGCTGGGCGGCTGAGAGCCAGGAGGGGGAGGGGAGGCCCGAGCCGTGGGAGTTCTCCAGACAAACTTTCCATCCAACTTAGCGCCCTTTCCTCTGTCCTCATTTCCCATCTGTTTCCCCCTCTCCCAGAATCACCTTTCTCTTTTGCTGACACCCCCACCCCCAGGCCTTTTAAAGGGATGTGGAATTTCGGCTGTTCCCTCTGCTTTCCCAAAGAGCCAAATTCTTTGATGCCATCGGAGGGAGCTGTCAGGGGGCTAAGATTGATCGCCTCATCTCCTCTAGGTCCCTCTGACCCACTTATTTAAAAATCTTCCCCCAGATCGACTTTTCATTTTCTGCTTTGAGATCTAGTTTCCCACCAATTGCTTGGGGCCCTGAGTCTTGTGCCCCCTCCCTCCAGTAAATAACAACACTCCCTAAAATTCACACTAACTACATACCCCCCAAATTAAAAAAAAAAAAAAAAAGATTTTTCCCGTAGGGGCCAAAAATGGAATATTATCTAGGTGGTCATTATTCTTCTCATCTCCATGTGAGAGGAAGAATTCAGGGAATTCTTTCTTGCTAAGTTTTTTTTTTTTGTTGTTGTTGATGTTGTTTGTTTGTTTGTTTTTGTTTTTTAATAGCACAGTGGCACAAATGGGAAAGGAACTCTCTTTGTCCTGGGAGGGAAAAGCCCCTCCCACACTGGTCTGAGCTTTGAGAGTGCTCTGATACTGTGGTGATCTTGGTTCTGGTACCGGTCTCTGTATATAGATGTAGATAGAGGCTTGACGCTTAAGTGAATGCATGTGCATCTTAATCCCTGCCTGTTGGGGGGTGTCCAGGAGGAGGTGCAGATGCCTCCAGGTGAGGAAGGCAGGTGGACATAGGGCAAAGGCACTGCTGCAAACACTGGGGGGAGAAGGGAACTGACACCAGCAGTTATGGAGGCCAGAGGCCCAAAAAGGCCTCCTCACCATCTATCTCATGCCTGTGTCAGCTGTGTCAATTTCCCAAGATTTATCTGTTGCTTTTGGGGGACAGGATGGGGTTAGTGGTGCTGATGATTGTAAATCTCTTTTTTTCCTTATTGCACCTTAACATGAACATTTCCCCAAGAGTAGAAACCTCTTTCCACCACGTCTTCCTCCCACGTTGAGATCCACACTCAGCTTTCTTTCTTTCTTGGAGGGATATGGAAGAAAAGCATGCTACTGGCCAAAGAAGACATCAATTTACTCTATCAAAAATATTTGGAAAGGGGGAAGGTCTCTCTCTTCTTCAGCCTCTCTTGTTTCCTAGGTTTGCAGCATCTCCCATCCTGTGAAGAGGATGAGGGAAACACTCCTCTAGCTTTTTATGGAGAAAAGGAAGCACTGGGGAGGGGCAGTGTGGAACTGGGGGGGCTCATGGTGTCCAGGTCGTGATCCTCTAGAGTTTTTGAATCAATTAAAGCAAATAATGCTTTCTGTTTTCCACCAGGCCCAGACGAGTGATTGGCCGAGGTAGGTCCCGTGACCACGAATTCCCTGCAATTTCGCCGGAGTCCTGGGTTTAATAGAGAGAGTCCCCATACGCTTGTATTTATCAGCAATATACAATTATAAAGGCCCAAAATTTAAAAAAAAAGAGAGAGAGAGAAAGAGAGAGAGGGAAATCTCCCCCTCCCAAAATCGCTCCATCACATAAACCTGGGGGGGGCTGCAGGGGGGGTCCCTTCGATCCTCCCTCCTGAAGCCCCCCCCAGCAGACCCCCTCCCCCACCATTGAAAGCCATGAATTTTGAATTTGAGAGGGAGATTGGGTTTATAAACAGCCAGCCATCGCTTGCCGAGTGTCTGACTTCCTTCCCCGCTGTCTTGGAGACATTTCAAACTTCATCAATCAAGGAGTCGACATTAATTCCTCCTCCTCCTCCTTTCGAGCAAACCTTCCCCAGCCTCCAGCCCGACGCCTCCACCCTTCTGAGACCCGGGAGCCAAAAGCTACCCGAAGATGGGCCCGCGCTGCCGCCACCGCCGCTCCCCGCCGCCCCCCTGCCCCCGAGTTCCCCTGGATGAGAGAGAAGAAATCCGCCAGGAAACCGGGCCAAGCCGCCGCATCTCCTCCGGCCGCCGCCACCGACCCGGGCTCCGGGGTCGGCTCGCCCGCAGGTCGGTACGCGCGGTAGGGGCGGGTGAGGGGGCAGCTGGAGGGGTCGGGGAGAAAGAGCCCTGGGGGAGGCAGACAGCGGAGCTGCTGGGGTTCCTCGCCTGCCTCGATTCCAGCGAAGAGGAAGCAGAATATCCGCTGGGGTTCAGGCCTGGCCGCTGTCAACTGCCCCCTCCCCCCCAGCAGATTTGGGAAGCTGGTTGGGGACAAGTCTCTTTTTATGCTAGAAGGATTGGGTCGCGGTCGTCACCTTTTTCTGTGTGAAGGAAAGAACGTGTTGCTGCCGTGGCTGAATCTGGGGGCAGGGGAAGCTTCACCCCCATTGCCCCAGCTCTCAGACCAGAGGGGCAGTTTCAGAGCCAGGAGGACAGGGCATGAGGAGGAACAGTTTTCGTGAACTTTCTCCCGGGGTTGAGTTGGAAATTGCCGAATTGAGGGGTCCGCTCAGAAAGCCTGGAAGGGGGCTCGCGGGGTCTGCGGGTGAGGGGGAGCCGCGCCCCCGCCCCCGCGTGACCCGTGGGCGGCCTCCTGAGCGCTTGCTCTGGCCCGGCAGGGTCTGCCCGCGGATGAAGGACCGAAAGAAGCGAAAAGCAGCGCGCGCCTCTTTGGGTACGGGTGGGGGTCCTTGTGACCCCGCGTTTGGCGGATGGGGGAGTCTTTATTTCAGCTGAGCTGAGGTGGGGGTGAGGACGCGGCCCGCTTTGACCTCGGATCTGCTTTCCCCGCAGATGGCCCGGGACTGGCGGAGGCTGCGGGCGGCGGGGCGCGCCGGCTGCGCACGGCTTACACCAACACGCAGCTGCTGGAGCTGGAGAAGGAGTTCCACTTCAACAAGTACCTGTGCCGGCCGCGCCGCGTGGAGATCGCGGCCCTGCTGGACCTCACCGAGAGGCAGGTCAAAGTCTGGTTCCAGAACCGGCGCATGAAGCACAAGCGGCAGACGCAGCACCGAGAGCCGCCCGACGGCGACGCGGCCGGCCCCGGCGCCTTGGAGGACGCCGCTGAGGACCCGGGGGCCAGCCCCGGCCGCCCGGCCGCCTCCCGCGCGGCGCGGGACGCCTGCTCCCGCCCGTCCGAGGTCGCGCCGCGGCCTCCGGGCGCTCCCGGCCCCCGGCCTTCGGCCGCTCGCTTGGAGGGCGCGGGTGTGCGGGGCCCCGGCGGCGGCCTGCGCGGGCCGGGCGGGCTGGAAGCCGAGCCGTCGCCGGAGGACGCCTTCCCGGAGCGGCAGGACTCGCCTTTCCTGCCGGACCTCAACTTCTTCGCGGCCGACTCCTGTCTCCAAGTGTCCGGAGGCCTCTCCCCCAGCCTTCAGGGCTCCCTCGACAGCCCGGTGCCCTTTTCCGAGGAGGAGCTGGACTTCTTCACCAGCACGCTCTGTGCCATCGACCTGCAGTTCCCCTGACCCGACCCGGTTCCTTCCGCTGGCCCCTCCGATCCCCGCTCCCCTCGATTGTCTGCTGGGAAAACCAAGGGCACCCCCTCCCCCGTCGTATAAACTTATTTATGTGTTTTGCTAAATTCAGGTATTATCCAAGTAGCGTTCAATCCAGTCCTTTCTTCTCTCTCTAAAATTTGGGCACTCGGGCATCTTTTTAAAATTACACAGACAAATTCCGTTTGGTAGACTCCTTCCAACGAAATCTCAGGAATAATTAAACTTGAGGGGGCTTTCTTAAGAATAACTAGAGGACCTATTTTCCTCTTTTTTTTTTAAGTTTTAGACTGTAGATTATTTATTAAAATTCTTTAATAGGCAAAGGGGAAAGTATTTATTGTACATTATTTTCATAGATTAATAAATGTCTTTATAATATGGAAACGAGCAAGTGTTTGTGTCGGGACTCAGCCCCCTTTTCCGCACTCCCTAGTCGGGTCCCCCCTCCTTCTGGAGCGGCTGGAGACTGGGGGGTCCCGCGCCGTGGGGCGGCAAAGTGCCCTGAATCGGGGAAGTCCGGGTGGAACAAAAGTGGCCGCTGCTTCTTCTCCAGCAGCTCCGAGAAAGTGGGGTGGGGGTTGGGGTGGGGAGGGGTGCTGGGGGCTCCTACACCTCGGCGCCCCTCCGCAGACACCTCGGGCCCCGCGCGGGCCTCTCTTTGGACAATAAAGGCGCGCGGGTGCGGGGAGCGGCTGTGCGGCCAGCAGAAGAGGGTGCGAGGAAAGGGGGCGGCAGGGACTGGTTTCCGCGGTTTAGCTGAGTTGAGGGGGGTCCCAGCGTCTCCCGGGTTTCTCGCTTCAGTACCCCAAGCCGGGTGGAGCGGCCTTTTGCCGAATGCAAGACACCTGGGAGCCGGAGGCGGAGGCCCAGGGCCGGCCGAGGGGCGGACGCGCCGAGGGTTCCCGGGGCAGCGGCGCCGCGCGCGGGTGGGCGAGGACCGGGCCCGGGACGCGGCTCTGCCCCCCCCCACGAGGCTCGCGGGCCCCGCGGCCACCCGCGCGCCCCTGCGGCTGGGGGCGCGGCCCGGGAGCGGCCGGCCGGGCGGTCCAGCCTGGCGCGGGCGGCGTCGGGAGGCGCCGGGCCCTCGGGGAGGACGGGAGGAGCGAGGAGCGCGAGAGGCCGGCGGGGAAGCGAGGACGATGCTCAAGATGGCGCTGGGGCCGGGCGGCCGGGGGCCGCGGGGAGGGACTGCGGCCGCCATGACAGCCGCGGCGGGTCGCGCGGGGTCCGGCCCGGGAGGCGCGTCCCCCGCCCGCTTCTCCTCTCCGCATCCTCCAGACGCCAGACACCAAAGGGAGCCGGGGAGCCTGCTCTCAGTTTTTGTTTTATTTGTAAAACCAGCCCTCGGGATGCCGAGGAGTCGAGGTGGACGCGGCTCCGCGTGGGCGGGGAGGGCGGGGCGCGCCGCGGGGCTGCAGGCCCGGGGCTGCCCGGCCGAGTCTGCGCCTCTGCGCGGGGACTTGAAGCCTGGCCAGAGCTTTCTCGAAGTCCAGACCTACCTGTCTCGACCAACAGCTTCATTTGCTACTTGAGCACTAGCTCCTGTCCCCCACCGCACCCTGCCAGGCTACTTGCAAACCCGTAAGCGGGGGAGCAAGGATCGATCTCCCCCATCGGCCTCCTGGTTTGTTCCGGGGAACGGGGAGATTTAAAGGGCCCTGGAAAGCCATCCATCCTCCTTAGGTTTATTTAATATTTCTCCGGCTCAGAAACAGACACCGCGGGGCTGCCTCCCTGGCAGATGCTGCCTTTCTCCAAAAGCAGTTTGTTTCCTGGGCCTCTCAGACTTTCCCCGGGACCAGCAGGATGGGGTCTTGGAGTACCATGCGCAGAAACGCGACGACTGTCAGAATAACCCAGAAACCAACATAGGTCGTGACATACAGGAATAGACAGATCTTGATTTTTTTTTTTTTAAGCTGGTCCCCCAGTGCAGGAAGTACACACATCTTATTCAGCTGGAATTTAATCCCTTAAACTGTCTTAATATGGAATTTAACTCCTGCATTAAATAATCTTATGTCATGTTAAATTGCACTTATTTCTTTCATAAATAAATTAATATAGAACAATTAGATGTGTTATTATAATAATATCATGTATCTTATTAGTTTATTTTCCCTCATAAAATATATAGGTATGAAATAAATTCAATATATTAAAGTAATAATACACAGCTTATTGGCTCATGTGTTTATTTTCCCCATAAATAAGTGAATATACAATATATTAAAACCACACTATACATCTCATTGGGTTGTGCGTTTATTTCTCCATAAAATATGCCCATAGGCGGTGTTTAACATCTTAAAAATCACAGCACATAACCATCTCTATACTAACAAAACGAAACAGACATTTCAGCTGGGGCTTTGATTTCTGTGGACAGCCAAACTAGATAATTTGGTCTAATTAAAAATGTTCTTTCAGCTATAGCAGGTTGTTACAAAGATCAAGAATACCAGAAGGATCTTGCTAATTGCCCACCTTCCAGCTTTCTTTGGTCAGAAGGAGAGCACTCTTCATCAATGACAAAAACACAGGATCTGCTCTGCTGGAGAGAATTCACATCCTGGGATCATGCCTCTGAGGCTTCAGTTCTCAGAGCTGGTCAGCAGCATCAGAACTACCTGTGAGCTAATTGGAAATGCAGAATCCTAGGCCCGCTCCACATCTACTGAGTAGGAATCTCAATTTAGGAGATCTCCACGTAATTTATATGCATATTAAAGTTTGAAAAATACTGCTAGATCACAGTGCCACCTTGCTTCCTAATACTCCCATGTTTAAAAATTTGGCCCACATTACCTGCTCATTGATTTCCAATCCTCTCCAACCCAAACCAATGGCCCACTGGTCAGGGAATATTACCTCCTACCTGAGGCAGCATCAGCCCTGATTCCTCCTTCCCAAAGTGAGTGGGGAGCTAGGAGTTTCCAGCCAAAGGCTCAACCTATATACCTAGATCTAGGTTCTTGTGTATCCTGGGGATAAGAAACTCCCAATGCAGAGAATTAGGAGTTCCAACATTTCATTTCCCTTGCTTGATTATTAGGGAGGAGGGGGGAGTCTTTTTACAGACAACATATAACCTTTCTCTTTCTCCTTTTCCACATTCACAGAACTCATCATCTCTGAGGCCACCACAGTAGAACAAAGAAGCAATGCATTTCCAGAAGGAAACAACCCCTGTCTTCAGTATCCTTATCCAATGCAAATGAAAAGGAATTCCTGACAATTTGGAATTCATAAAGGACTGGGATTCAGGATGCCTGTGTTCCAAATTAGCTCCTTTTCCTTGTTTTAATCATGGGGGGGGGGCGGTCATCTTCCCAGGTATCTATGGAGAAGGAAGAAGAGGTGGGGATCCATTGATGATCCATTGATGACAGGTTAGAGGCTAGTGTCAGCCAGCTACATTCTCTTCTCCTGTAGTGTTTAGGGCAGGGCTCTCCTTGGGTGAGAACCAGCTATGAGCAGCATAGGCTGGTTATAAATCAGCTATGGTTGGAATTGGGAGGTTTCAATGTAGTGCAGAAAGCTGCTGGTCAATCTGCCCTGCTCTTGGTGAGTCATTCCTTTAAGAAGAATGGTTCATTAATATTATGGTGAAAGCAAAGTACCATTAGATTGAGGAATTATTTGCAATCATGATAACCCCTAGTCATTAAAAAAAAATTATCTTATGCCTGGACAAGTCTCTTCCCCTTTCTGGACCTCAGTTTCTCCCTCTGTAAGACAAATGGAAGAAATAAACATCTCTAAAATCCTCTATCAATATACAAAAAATATAATCATTAATCTTCACAAACAATGTATCAAATATTTATTATGATTGGTGCCATGTGCTTTGATATGGAGGTGGTGACTGGATACTTAATAAAGGACCTTTCACATATCTAGTAAGGTCATTTTAACAAGTTTTAAGTTGTATTTTTACACCAATAATCACGTACCCAATCATTATTTAAATGAGTAGGGTGAGAAATCTTTTAGACAAACATGTAATCAGGTGTAGTACTGAGTGTCAGGTGTCAGGTACTCAATACACATGAATATTAAGAAGCATCCTAGTCAAGGTTTCCTCTGGCTTTCATCCTCTGCCAACTTCTCCAACATTTTTTTTTTTAAAGATTTATTTATTTATGCATACAAGAGGTTTTTTTTAAAGATTTATTTATTTATGCATACAAGAGTTGAGGTACAGGCCAGAGATGGGGGTGGGGTGGGGTGAGAGGATTTACCAGAGACAGTAGGGAACAGAATAGGCAGATACACTGGTGAGGGGAGCAGAGGGTGAGTCAGGAGAGGTCTGCTGCACCATGTGGGCTGCTCCCAGGCTGGCTGGGGATCATGCTGCAGAGGCTGGGGATTGCTTCATAGTGCATTGCTGAACCCCTTGCACCACCAGGGAGGCCCAACTTCTCCAACATTTGGTTATGTTTCCTCTTGTTGAAAAATGAGTAGGGCAAAAAAGAGCCACCAAACTTCTTTGACATGGTGTACTAGACTTAAAAAGTCGCCTTTAGTTGGGCTTTATCTGGTTGCTAGGCCATCAGCACAGAGGCATAAATTCTGGCTCTCCCTAAACAGTTCTGATAAATCCCCCTGTCCACCTTTCCCCTAAATTTCTGATAAGTGTTCCATGATCCCATTATCCAGAAATGTGTAGTCAAATGCATGACCTCAGTCTGCAGAAGGTGACCTTCTAAGGTACCACATCATCCCCTCAACCTGGACTCCCCAGCCCAGTTCTGCCTTCCTGCTGTCACCCTAACCCCACCCCAACCAGGAGATCTAGCAAACTGCTTCTACTCCCAGAGAGTAAACAATCAAAAAGTCTCTTAAAACCTCCTGTAACTCCCAACCACCACAGCAAAATCACAGTTCAGACAGTCATTCAGACATAAATTCAAGTTCAACCATGTTTGTTAGGATTTCCAAGGTGGAAAGCCCAATTAACTAGGAACTTTCTGCCATTCCTCATGTCACTCTAATATTACCTTTTAGAAAGATCCCAACTCTGACATGCCTTTCACTCCAGATGTAAGTTTACATCCTGTTGATCTATGATCTTCTAAGACCTTAGATGTCAGGTTCAATCCTAATTCCAGGAAGGACAGTTTCTAAGCTAAAATCCCTTAAGGAGGGAGAGACAATTTCCTTCCTGGAAAACTTCTCCCAAATATTTGGAAGATCAGGAAGTTCTTGCAAATGTCTAATCTCAAACCTTTCTGCTGCAATTTTAATCTTTGGATTCTTCATAGATGTACAATGTATAATGTTAGGCTTTAGTTTTCAACAAGCCCTTCAGCTAAGAAGAAAATTCTTTGCTTAGCCAGAACCAGCCTTAATTTTCAATTAAATTTGCATATGACAAAGTACATATTGTATAATATATGGCTATAGGTTACATGAAAATATAGCACATATGCTATTCTCCTATCACATATTTCCATATTTTAAACTTTTTTTTTTTTTTTTTTTTTTTATAGAGGCATGCTTTATTTATTTGTTTGCTGGTTTCTTTGTTTGTTTTGTTTATACATGCACTGGGTACAGTCAGAAGCGCGGGAGGGCGAGAGAATTCACCAGAGCCAGAGCGGGGAGCAGAGCAGGCAGAAGGACCGAAGTACACTGCTGAGGGGAGCAGCGGGCGGCAGGAGAGGTCTGCGCGCCATGTGGGACCCTCCTCCGGTGGCCGGGGAGCAGCCGGGGATCGAACCGGCGCCGCAGAGGCCGCGCGCAGCTTCGCAACCCAGCGCTCAACCGCTGCGCCACCGGGGAGGCCCTATTTCCATATTTTAATATGCTAATTACATTTAAAAAAGATGACTGACATATTATTTCAGAATGTACATGTAATGTTAATATCATTTATAGAGTTCTCCATAGTTTATGTTTTCTTATTTGTTTTAATTCTACTAGCAATGTAGTGAAGTAAGTAGTATTTTTTTTTTGAAGTAAATAGTATTAAATCCATTCTTCTTCTCTGAGACTGAGACTCAGACAAACTGGGAAACTTGTCCAGGGACATAACGTTAATAAATGGCCAAGCAAGAATGTGAACCCATGTATCCTAGCCTCCCCAAACTAGTAGCCTTCCCATTATAATATATATGGTTCTTTATCAGAGTTGTGACAATCTAATTAGCTTACATTAAAACAAACACCACTACATTCAAATTCTATCCTACCCAGCAGTAAGAAATCATCTCCTTATCAAGAAAAAACTATATAGCCCTGAAAACCCTCTAAATTCTCAAGGCACAGCCTTTGGCTTGGACTTAGTCTCCAAGATCTGAGCTAGGAGAAGAGGCAGATAGACACGGGAGGATTTAATGAAAGACTTTACGGGTTGTTTCTGCCGACCTCTTGCCTCCCCACCCCATCTAAAGCAACTTCCTCTACAGAAAAGTCCAGAATCAGGTGTAAACTTCTAACACATTTCCATTCTGATTAGAATGGTTCTCCTGCTTGATTTTTCAGTGTGATCTGTAACAGCACCTCTCAAGGATAAAGTCAGTTCTAAAACGTGCCTGTGCTCTGTTTGCTGGCCTATGTGTCTAACTAAGATTACGCAGAAGAAGATATAAGCTTTATTTCACTTTGGCATTGTGTCCACTCAGACATTCTCTGATGAATTTCATTTGGTCAGACAAAAAAAATCCTATAACCCATAGGTTACTCCAGATGTGAACTTCTCTTTGATTATTTTGTTTTGCGCTCAGCTATGGGCTTAGCAAGGAACCCAGGTGTCACAGACTTTCTCCTTAATCCAAAGCCTGTGGAAGCTTCTTTTAAGGAAGAAGAGACTTGAGAATCTAGGAAGCTAAGTTACTATTTCTTCAGGTCCTTTCTGCTGGGTCTAGGAGAGGAATTTTGGAAAGTTTTAATTTGTCTGCTATAAAGGGAAGATAGCAAGACTGGATGGATGGGAAAACACAGTGAATTTGGACAGCTGAGGTCAAAACAATCACTATAATTGACAGTATAACTTGGCCCACTCTTTCTCTTCTGGTCGGTCACTAATAATAGACTATTGGTGACTTCAGCTGCTGTGAGGGAGATTGCATCTCCCAGCCTCCAGACAGATTTCTGATCTTTTATTAAACTGATTTGAAATTTACTTCCTTCTTTAGACCTCAATTTTTCCCTATGTAGAGAGGCAAGAGATGCAGTGAGTAAGTTCTTCCTGTGTTGAGGGAAGGGTAGAAAGTGAAGAAATATCAAATCTCTTAGAAGCAGGGCAGCCAGATCACATATAGGTCTACCCCAGCAAGCAGGAAACCCTAGTTTCCATGCCCTTTAGCTGAGGCCTCTGTGGAGAATATCTTACAGCAAGAGGGAAAACTTGGGAACATTTATAAACCCAAAAAAGGGAAATAGAAAGAACCATGCTTGTTCTCAACTCAACACTCTTTTCTCTTCAATCCCCCTGCAAGATACCCCTGTCCCCCATCTCAATTCTCCCTGCCTTTGTCTGCCACATCCCTGTGGCAGTGAACATTCTCTCTCCCTCCCCCATTGCATCTCTCTTAAGAAGTTACCAGCTGGTCTTCCTCCCCCCTGCTTGTCCTGGTCTGGAGCTGAGTGCATGTGAGGAGGGAAAGGGACAGGGGCCCTGTGCAATGCTTTGAGCTCTTTCACAGTTGAACTAAGCAAGGCTCACAGTTGTTAGGAGAAGAGAAAGGCACTTTGATGTTGGGGATAGAGACAGAAAGCAGGAGAGATGACTCCAGAGGATGGGGAACATGAGAGAGACCATTTCAGGGTTCCTAGCCGAGAGATGAACACTCACCCTGCCCTTTTTGGGGGTGGGGACCCTGAGAAATCTTGATGGTCCTTGCCAGACTTGTCGCACCTGCTTTCCCAGCCTCTCCTGAGCTCAACAGTTTACAGAGCTCCTCCCTGAACTCTTGCCCTCCTGGACTTGCCCTAGCCCCAGCCTCAGGCCTCCCTGGCCTGGCAGACACCCTGACAGGTTACAAATGAGTGTGGGTGTGGGATTGCGGCAAGCTCTTGTCCTGGGAGTCTGGAGGAGGAGAATCAATGGGCTCTACCTAAGAGCTTCTCTTCCAGTCCCTTCCTGGTTAGAAGAGAATGAAGGAAGCATTTCCTGTGCTCCTCCCCTCCCCCAACCCCATCCCAACAGACCGCAGAGCAGAAAGGGGTGAGACTTCGCTGAGCTTCAGGACCTCCATAGTGAATCTCTCATTCTCTGAGCAAACTCCCTAGATCTATTCCAAAAAAAAAAAAAAAAATTGAAAATGTGAGTAATCTTCAAGATGTAATTGGTCTTGAATTTATGGACTGTTGGCCTGGGACTTGGGGGTGGGTTGGGAGAAATGCAGGGTGGTGAAGGAGAGAGGGGCAGGAGGGAATTAGAACAATGCAAGAGGCACAGCAGTTTTAAAGGCTTTGGAAAGAGAATAAAAAATTTCCTCCTCTTTACCTTAAACATCACCTAGCTCAGTGCTCATTGCGGCTCTCTGGAGAGATATAGGGAGTTATTTGAGTCTGAGTGAGTGATCCAGCTACAGCTATGGATGGCTAGAGAGAGGATAAATACATCTAGAGAGATGAATTGATGGATTGGTAGGAAACGAATATAAATATGGAGAGAGATGGACTAACGGAGAGATGGATTGAGACAGAGAGAATATAAAGAGAGGCTGAGGGAGAGAAATGAATGTGTGAATGAGGAGAGAGAGTTTATGTGGAGAGATGCAGAGAGAAAGGGTGCATCTCTCAGCCTCCTCACCACTTTTCGGTCCTGCTTCCTCAAATGCCAGTTTCCCACCCTCACTGGAAGAATTCTTCCTTTAGATTCTAGACCCTGCCTCACACCCTTAGGTGTTTTTGTACCCTCTTCCTCACAGTCACCCATTTGGCCAAAGACAACACCCCTCACCCAGCTGTCCTAGCCCATCACCCCAAGACAAATTGGGGGAGAGAAATGAGGAGTGGGAGTTCTGGGCAAAGTAAAGGGTCTGGATTTCCCACCTCTGAGGTCTACAGCCTGGAGGAAAGGCTCCTTTGGGGGGTGGGAAGAAAGAGGGGGCAGCTGGGTTGAATTTGTCCAAATCTAATAACCCAGGAGCCTATTGAAGGCCTTGGGGGGTGGGAGGGGAAGAAAGTCTTGAATATTCCTCTAACTTTTCCCCCCTCTCCCTCTGGTCCCTTCTTTCCAAAAGTCTTTGAAGAAAGATGTTTTTGACGCTTCCATGTCGCTCTCAGATGGATGGGCTGTGGGTGATTGAAGTGTCTTTGTCATGCTAATGCTTGGGGGGTGATGGATGGGCGCTGGGGCTGCCAAACTCTGGCCCACAGCGCCCATTGGCCTGGGAGAGATCACATGTGCCCCTCCACCCCCACTCCCTACCCCTTCCTAGGGGAGCCCTGGCCCAGCCAAGCTGGGCCAGGCCATGGATGCAAGCTTCAGCGTGGTGACATACTGCCGAAAGGTTGTAGGGCAAGAGGGTGTCTCCCCCAAACGGGCGGACCCTCCTGCGGCCTCCACGCATGGACTATAATAGGATGAACTCCTTCTTAGAGTACCCACTCTGTAACCGGGGACCCAGCGCCTACAGCGCCCACAGCACCCCTACCTCTTTTCCCCCCAACTCCGCTCCGGCTGTTGACAGCTATGCAGGCGATGCCCGCTATGTCGGGGGGCTCCCCAGCCCCACCCTCCAGCAGAACTCAGGCTATCCTGCCCAGCAGCCGCCTTCCGCGCTGGGGGTGCCCTTTCCCAGCTCTGTGCCCTCGGGGTATGCCCCAGCAGCCTGCAGCCCTAGCTATGGGCCTTCTCAGTACTACCCTTTGGGACAGCCAGAAGGAGATGGAGGCTATTTTCATCCTTCAAGCTACGGGGCCCAGCTGGGGGGCTTGTCCGAAGGCTATGGAACGGGTGGAGCCGGTGGATTGGGCCCGGGACCCTACCCTCCTCAGCAGCCCCCTTACGGGAGCGAGCAGACTGGGAGCTTTGCACCGGCCTATGCTGATCTCCTCTCGGAAGACAAGGAATCGCCCTGCCAGTCAGAACCCAGGCCCACGGCCCGGACCTTCGACTGGATGAAGGTTAAGAGGAACCCACCCAAGACAGGTAGGCCTGGGCGTGGTCATCCGCGCCTCCCTGCACAAAGCGCGGTGCTGCTGGCCCTGAGGTGTCCCTGCTGAGGCTGGGTTCTTCTCTGTACTTTGCCCTGGTGGAAGCAGGTAAGAACATGCCTGCACTCACAGGGTCTCCCCACCAATGAGTGCCGGGTTACCCTCAAGTGTGAGTCTCTACGCACGCACGCCCCCACTTTCTGATCCGGGAGCCCAGCACCAGGCAGCGCTAGGTCTGCGAGGGCGCGGGCGGAGATTGGATGGAAGTATGGGGGGGGGTGCTTTAGATTTGGAGATCACTTTGGGAGGGGGCTGGTGATCCACGGGGAAATTCGGAGCTCAAGTTGGACAAAACGGTGAAAGGGAGGGTGGGGTGCACAGCTGGCCCGGGAGGAGGAGAGGGGAAGAGAAAAGAGGTGAGGGAACTGACCTGATTCTTTTCCGGTCCCCCCTCCCCCCCAGCGAAGGTGTCGGAGCTGGGCCTGGGCGCGCCCGGCGGCCTCCGCACCAACTTCACCACGCGGCAGCTGACCGAGCTGGAAAAGGAATTTCATTTCAACAAGTACCTGAGCCGAGCCCGGAGGGTGGAAATCGCCGCCACCCTGGAGCTTAATGAGACACAAGTCAAGATTTGGTTCCAGAACCGACGCATGAAGCAGAAGAAGCGCGAGCGGGAGGGAGCCAGGGTGCCCCCCACCCCTCCAGGTTGTCCCAAGGAGGTGGCAGGAGACGCCTCCGACCAGTCGACCTGCACCTCCCCGGAAGCCTCGCCCAGTTCCATAACCTCCTGAACTAGACCTCCCAACCGACCGGGTCCGAGGTCTCAGCGGAGGGACCCAGCCCAGCCCTCTCCTCTGCTCTCCCCAGCCCGGGCGTCAGCTTTTCTGCTCGGGGGCCCTCTCCAAGGCTTTGGGCTCTCTCTAGTGTAGAGCTGCCTTCGGGAGGAATGGGAAACACTTTTCTCTGGTCTGGGCGGGGTGCTGAGGGCTGGGGATCCTATAGGACCAGAGGCCTGGGAGACACCAAACCTGTCAAATGTGGAGGGAAGAGTTTCCATCCATCTTTGATCTGGGGGTCAGCGCATGGGTGGGGCTGGAAGCAAACCGCACCCTCAAGGATTCTTCTTTCCCTTCCAACTTCTGTTTGTTCAGTTCAGTGCCTTTGAGCCCCGAGGGCTTTTCTCATGCACTCCTATCCTAACTCACCCTTCTAGGCCCAGGTCAGACAGATGGCCTTGAGGTTTCTTGTGTGGGAGATGTTTGGGTGCAGGCATATTACCAATGCCTAATCTCCCCAATCACCGTAGCACCAGCTGCCTTGCAACAGACCAAAAAGCCCCCCATCTAACCTTATTAAACCCCTCCCTGCACATTTATATTGCACTAATGCAGCCTCCAGAGGTTGTTTTCTGAGACCTGCTTCCTCCCACCAGCGACCTCATCTCCCAGTCACCAAAGTGTTTTGGAGCTTGGCATTCTGGGAGACTTCTGGAATGTTTGTGCTAGGCCTGTCCTCAGCAAGCCTCTACCAGGAAGGTGCAGGCACACCCCACTAGATCCTCCCCTATTTATTGCCTCCTGGGAAACCCAGGACCCTCCTTTCCTCTCCACCCCTGGAAAGCCCAGGTGCAGTGAGAGCTCCTAGGAGCAGCAAGCATTTCTCTGAACCTTGGAGACTGTGGAGGCACTACCCAAGTGTCTGGAAACCTGAGCCCCAACCAAGCCAAGTTCTCTCTGTACCTCCAACTACCTCATTTCAATAAAATCTGTGTTTCCCCCTCTTCCCGCCTGCTTCTGCTCCTCCACCTAGGGGAGGAGGCTTCCAACTCTGAGGTCCTGGAAGGAAAGTGGAGAAAAGAGTTGGCCAGGTTGGTCTGGAAAGAGTTGAGCTTTAAGATCTAAGCTGGATAAGGAGAGGGACTGATGGGGAGGGTCCAGAGCAGAACTGGGATCCAGACTTCCAGGTCTGACAGCCTCCAGTCCTCAGTGTCTTTGGAGGAACCAGAGAAAGAGGTAGAGGAAAGACGGGGTGGGAGGAAACTGTTTTCAGCTGGTCCTGAGAGGCAGTAAAGGAGAGAAAGAGAACAGAGAAGGATGTAAAAAGAGGAGCAAGCACAGGAAACACAGGGAGCTTCTGCCTCTCCTCCAAGCTCTCCCTCAGGCTCAGAGCAAGGTTTGGCACAGAATGGGCAAAAATATTTGCTAAAGGAGTGAAGAGGGTGGGGAAAGCTGTAGAGTGTGTGTGTGTGTGTGTGTGTGTGTGTGTGTGTTTGCACGCCGGTGCCTCCCTCCACCCCCGGTTGCTCAGAGTAAGTTAGATGGGAGGCTGGCACACTGCAGTTGGCATGCAGGTTTACTCCTTCACTCGGGCTCCCAAACTAGCGCCCCTTCCCCAGGGGCCCAACAGGGATGTCGGGAGGACCCTAGTGCGCGCCTTGGAGACACCCGCCGGGCGCAGCCGGGCCCTTACACCCTGGCTCCAGGTGAACGGCCTAGGTCTCCGGGCGCTGAACAGCAGGACCGCGCGGCCGTGCCTGAGGCAAGGGGTGGGGTGAGGTGTGGGGAAAGGAGAAGGTAGTCGGAAGAGGGGGGCAATAGAGGCCCCGGGAGGGCTGGGGGTGGGCACAGGAGCCCGAGGTAAAGCCGAATCCCGAGCTGACCTTTTTACCTCGAAGAGCCTCTGGGCTTTCCAAACAAGCCTACCGCGCGCCCGCGGGGCCCGCTATTGTCTCCCGGCCGGTCCCACTGACAAACCTTTGGTCGGCGGAGGCGGGGGTCAGCCTCAGGAAGCTGGGCGACCGCCCACAAACCGCCCTCGCTCACTCGCCCCTCAGCGCAGTAGAGATGACACAGGCCCGCGGCCCGGGTTTATTGATTCCGATTACCCAGGACCCCAAAAGCCAGAGAAGCCAGGACGGCCACCCTCAGGGTGAGCCTTGGGACCTAGGGGGGCTTTTTATCCACCCCTCTATTTAATCCTTGAAATGTCAATGGAACAGAGGATGCTTGAAAAGACTAAGAGTTTATGTCAAAAACGGAGCATTTGCTTCCTAATGAAATTGGTGCCTTTATAGGAGAGGTCGGTCTCCATAATTGCAACCCCCAGCTGGAGAGGAAGAGAAGCTTGTTGCAAGAGGAAGCCTAGCTTCCTAGAGCCTGCTGTCTTGCCCCCGTCTTAAAAAAAAAAAAATCTATCAATTGCTTTTCTGCATTTAATTGAAATTGCCACCAAGGTTGGCTTCCCCAAAGGGGTCACCCTGACAGAGGGACAGAGCACGTGCCTGTGGAAACAAAACTCCCCTTGCTTGGAGTCATGCCATGCAAGCCCAGAGAGCTTTCTGGTTGGGTTATTTGTGGCTCGCCCAACCTTTGGACTAGTGTGCAGGAGAGCAGAGAGGAGGGAGCAATGGTTAGAACAGGGCCAAGGGAAGGTAGAGCTGGGGTTGACAGGTCCTGAGGGAGGGAAGATGAAAGGGATTGGAGGAAAGGGGAAAGCTGGCCCATTTGATTTTTGGTTATAGCAGAAGGAACCATCAGATTCCCCCAGGGAAGGGTGAGGGGCAAATCAATTTTCTGTTCACATAGGCTCAAAACAGCCACACTACATCTGAGCCTCCCGTCTACTGAGATGCAAAGATCCCGGCCCCTTCCCCACTCTGCAGTCTTCTAAACCCCACTTGGAACCTGAGGCCCCATTATTTAAAGGAAGAAAAGACCTGTATATTTTCCCTTTGTATTTTCCTATCATAAATGACAAAGGGTGGTAGGGCAAGCAAACAAACACACATTTTGTTGCAATTAAATTAAATTGATGGGGCCTCCCCGGTGGCGCAGCGGTTGAGCGCTGGGTTGCGAAGCTGCCCGCGGCCTCTGCGGCGCCGGTTCGATCCCCGGCTGCTCCCCGGCCACCAGAGGAGGGTCCCACATGGCGCGCAGACCTCTCCTGCCGCCCGCTGCTCCCCTCAGCAGTGTGCTTCGGTCCTTCTGCCTGGTCTGCTCCCCGCTCTGGCTCTGGTGAATTCTCTCGCCCTCCCGCGCTTCTGACTGTACCCAGTGCATGTATAAACAAAACAAACAAACAAACCAGCAAACAAATGAATAAAGCATGCCTCTATAAAAAAAAAAAAAAATAAATTAAATTGATGGTCTTTATTGCTAAACTTTCCAGAACAGATGCCAAACTGCTTCCCTCATAGGCTTTTCCATGCCCTTCAGATAGGTGGTTTTTCACAGCCCTTTCAGGGAGGAGGTGGGGGCTCTATTTACCAGGAGATCTGAAAGTGCATTTTCTGCAAAATTTGGAAGATGTCCACCCCCACACCTCCACTTACCAGATCTCAAACAACAACAACAAAACCCTCCTGTTTTGAAAATAAAATACTAGAGAGAATTTTTTTTTTCTTGGTACTTCACCAGAGGGAGAATTCTTCTCAGGGCTGTTTTGAAACTTTGTAGTGTTTCTCAGGAGCATCTCCTGGCCCCTCCTCCACTGCCTAGGGGTGTGCAGTCAAACCTCCACCCTCTGCACCATCTGTTTCTCAGCCCCAAGTGTGAACTTTTCCTCTTTCATTGCCTTTTTCTCCAGCATTTGTTCTCCCCACATGAGGCCCTTTGATCTACTGGACAGAGGGAAAAGAAAAAGAGATTTGAAAAACCCTGATGCTCTTCTTACTTGTAATGCAGGTTTCTTTGCTGTGAACTTTCCTTACACCTACCACTGGGCTGCTGGGAGGGAACTGGCAGGGTGGAGAGTAGGAGAGGATCTGGATGGGGAGGCTGGGAGCATCTCCAGATGTCTGAGATCAGGGAGAGCCAGATGAGCCTGAGAGGAAGGCCAAGAGCTGGGGAGATGTCCAGGTCGACAGGGTTCAAATCCAAGACCTGCCTCTCACAGGCTTGTGGTCTTGGGCAAGTTGTCTAATTCCCTATGCCCAGCTATCCACCAAATGGGGATTGCAATACTTCCCAGGGTTGATGTTAAATAAGTTAACATGTATAAAATAGTTGGCATACTTCCTATAAAAATATGAGCTCTAATAATTATCATTTTCATTCTAGAGTCCCTGATCTATTTCAGGCATATCTTGACCCAATGGGATGTGCACACACTCTCACTTCCCAATCATATCTTGTTGGATCCCTGATAGGTGCATGGGACTAGAGCCAGGTTATGGGGCTAAGGGCAGGGAGAAGCTGAGAACACCCCAGGTGCTTCTGACTAAACCCCTGTCCTTCAGATCCCATTCTACCCACCTGTGGAAGAAGAGAGGTATCTGGCTTTCCACATACTTCCCCTCTCTTCTCCAATTTGGAAAGATGGATAGGTCTTACAGGCAGACACTTTGAGCTCCTGATTTGGGGTGGTCCAAGATAAGCATTCTGAAGTATAACCTAATTTTCAATGTGGTCCCCTCTTATTAGCTGAGTGAGCTTAAGTCAACTATTTAGTTTTTGTGGGCTTTCATTTAGGTGCAAAATGGAGGATATTGAAGAAAAAATGAAAGATATAAGAAATGTTTAGAAGATGGCTTGGCAGCGTTCAATAGAGATTTTTTATTTTATGTATTCATGGAAGACATTTTTCTCTTACTGTCTTCCATCCTCCAGCTGTGGTTCTGCTGCACTGCACCCACTGACCCACTTGGCATCATGACTTGGAACTTGCATCTAGAGAATAAAATAATTATGAATAAAAAGGTTAGGGTGGGGGTCCCACAGAATGCCAGCTTACAGGCAGTGCAGTGCCATGGTGTGGCATGCTCTGTGGGGACAGGCTCATTACATAACGCTGGGAACACTTTCTCACCATAGTCCATGAGATCAACACCCCTGTGGTTGAACCAGATCTTCCCCCAATGGTTCAGTCCTGGCTCTAAGGA